AGCTTTTTTTTTCACTGACTCTAATTCTAACATCCTGAATGAGTGTCTAGAATGAACACAACACAAACATGAGCCTAGGTTAAAAAAAAAACCCTCTGAACATTTATCATGGGACCCAACACCTAACCTTGACGAATCTCAGGAACCATCAGAATTGAATTAAAAAACATGGAATTCCACTTTTCTGCAGAAAAAGCTCATGTCTAAACTCAATACAGAGCTTTACGAAGCCTTCATGCTAGCAAAACATACATAATTCAATAAATAAATAACTTTAAGCCTCGGATTAGCTTGACAAAAACAAATAGCTCATCCGGAGAAGAGTCAAGGTTGGTTGATATATTAACTACTTCTATGGAATAATCATGATATTTCTGAGAATCAGCTGAAGTCCCGATTACAAAGAATCAAATAAGCCCTAATGACATCTTGTCACATGGTATATTCCACTTCCAAAATTCAGTTTCACTCATTAACACACTATAAAACAGTTGACAATGTGTGTTTACAGCACATTTAAACACAGTTTCCATACAGAGCGTGGTTCTTCACCTTGACTTTCTAAGAACTTGATTTAACCCGGATTTAACTGAGTATTTGCCGTACGTCACTTCCATGAATATGTTTCCTTTCACTTTATCAAATTGGACAGAATCAACGCAGTGATGACATCCTTTTCAGGAAAAATCACTTCAATCAACAAGCCTGCCTGTTCTCAGCTGTGACATAAATCATTCACAACTTTCAGCTATAGAAAAAGTCAATACGACAGGAGACGCATCTGAATGATTTTTTATACAGGAAAAAAGGGGAAAGATAATACCAATGTTAATCTAATCATACACTAAGTGCACTTATGGAGCTACCAGGCAAAAAACAGGAGGTTATTCTAGGTAGAGAGATATAGAAAAGCATCCAGATGAGGGCCTGGTAAGCAGTTGCCCAAGCTTAAACTTACACATATATAATATCAACAATAGGCATTCTTGCCTCTTACTAGAAAAACAGTTTTTACAAAATAATACATGACAATTTGAAAAATGTACATATTTTAGGCCCACTCAAAATGTACATGGCAAAATACGCTTATTTGACCAGAGATACACACATGCACACACGTGCATACATAGCACACACGCACGCATCCACGCACACAAACCTCACCTTGGTACTCAGAGAAGCAGATGCTCAGCGGTGACTTTTTGATTTTCTCTGAGAACAAATCTTTCTTGTTGAGGAAAAGAATTATGGATGTGTCGGTGAACCACTTATTGTTACAAATGGAATCAAACAGCTTCATGCTCTCCATCATACGGTTCTGGAAAAAAGTAATTAAGTATTTTTTCGAGGGTTTCTAAAATAATATTAATTGAGTAAGAATCTTAGATCCCAAAATGGGAATGTACACATCTTAAGTTACAACCACCACTTTCACATATCGTAAGTATTTTATATTACATTCTTTTTCAATGAGAAAAAGTCAAATAGTTCTGAAGGATAGAAAAATGTCAACTCCTTTTTTGGAACTCTCAAAGCAAAAAGTAGGTAAAGATAATAAAAATGCTGGTAAAAAAACAGGGTAAAGCAACCAAAAGCTGAAGGCAAACAAAATTAAAATAAAAATGCCACATTATGATTTTTTCCACCATCATATCAGACTTCATGAAAAGATTTACAGGGACGAGCTTCAGGTAGGAACTTCAGCCAGCGATTTAGTCCACTAAAATAACTCAGTATTGGTCTAAAATAATAGCCATACTTATTCTGTTATACGACATACACAGTATTTTATTTAATTGGACTGCTACTGATTTATACTTGATCTAAACAGATTCTTCTTTTGTTCCAAAAATATAAATCAGTTTTCCGGCTAAAGTTCTTGGGTGAAACATGTCTAGAGCTCACCATCTCCTGATCTTCGGCCAGTGTGAGGTCGTACTCGCTCATGGCGACAATAAAGATGATGGCAGTCACGCCCTCAAAACAGTGGATCCATTTCTTTCTTTCTGACCTTTGACCTCCAACATCAAACATTCTGAAAAAGCAGAGAGCTGCACTATGAGTCTTCCTGCTGTTAAATGGCTCACTCTGGGGTCTACTTAAACAATTTTTATCTCTTTTAAAAGAGGCTTACTCTCCCCGAAAAATAAAGAATGTAGTGCTTAACATGGCAGCCCTCCCCCCAATAAAAAAGTTATCAATCTGTCACCAGGTCAAAGCAGACATAAGTTTATGATTTTAAAACAAGGACAAACATTTAAATTCAGTTGTTTTCTTTTAAAATCAAAGTTCAGAGCCACTGTGCTTCAACTCACTTAAAGTGCAAATCTTTGAATGTGAAGTGTGTTTCTACAATCCCCGTTGTCTTCACTCGGGTCCGGAGAACATCTTGTTCTGTTGGGACATAGTTGGGTTGTGAGATACGATCTAAGGCATTCAGGTAGCTAAAATAACACAAATAAACAAATAGTCAATTTCTGCTATTAGTAATAGGTCGTTCCATCATGACTTGTTTATCTTTCTTCACAGTATGTATACCTCCCCTCCAAAAAAAGGCCTTTAAACATTCCAAAGGATACATAAATTTACATGAACTCAAGGTTTGATTTGATTTCATCAATTTAGAAATGCATGAATTCATGCAGTCATATCTCATGCATGACTATCTCACTTACTATTCTGCTGAGTCATTGAGCTGGTACTCCCTGGACCGACTAAAGCACTCCTGGACCCCGGAGTCCTTCCATAGTCTCTTCATCACAGCCGCCAAGTCTGGGGAAAGCTCGCCGTCGTCAGAGCCCGCCAGCGAGAACAGCATTCTTGCATCATCCTGCAGTGAGAAAAGAGAAAGCTGTCTGAATAGTGTTTCCTTTTCATTTATTTATTATTATTATTTTTTTTTTTTTGAAATCTGATTTCCCCATCATAACTGTACTGTTTATGCCAATTCAATACTGAAGGATTTCTAATGGCATGATAATGGTAGAGAACCCTAGGTTTATACAGGTAAGACCATTTTAAGGTCAGACAAAACAATGTGGGCAATTAGAAATACATATAACCTTTTCTTCTCTTACACATTCAAAGTATTCAGCCAGGTGTGCTTGTATGCAGAACACCTGCACAATTAGGTCGTAGCCCAAAGCACATTTTATTGTCAGGGATTTTTTTTTTTTTTTGTGTGTGTGTGTGTGTGTTACAATGACAATTGAGAATTTCTTTCTTCTCATATTTTGGGTTATTTTAATACCTCAATCCATCAGGATGTTCAAAGTTCAGCTGTCCCATTTAAACCAATCATCCTCTCTAAAAAGTATCTCACTTTCACTTTCAATACTTCCCCTTTTTTCCCCAAGATTCCTTTCATTTTCATTTGCTCCACTGCATTATTCATATTTCTCACATTTCACTTTCAATATTTTCCTTTCTTTATTGATTCTCTCCAGATTAAAAAATAAAAATAAATAAATAATCTGAACCAGATTTATTGCAGACCTTGACAAATCTCAGGAACCATCAGAATTGAATTAGAAAAACACAGAATTCCACGTTGCCCTCAGAAAATACTCATTTGTGAAGTACTCACAGCTCTGTCAGGATGTCCAAAGTCTATCTTGAGCTGTCCCATGGCTCTTATAATGGCAATCATGCTTTGTATAGTGTTGCTGTACACTACCGGTTTGTACTGAAGACATTCTTCTTGTGAGTAACCCTTGTCGTGGATGATTCTGAGAGAGAGAGAGAGAAAAGAATTCAATGATACAAATGATCAATTACATTACCTAATGAAACTTGGATAAATGTAGCTTATATTGAAAAATGATGTAATTAATTCATGTAGCAAAATGTATTAAACTGATGTCACAGTATGTATATATATATATATATATATATATATATATATATATATATATATATATATATATATATATATATATATATATATATATATATATAAAAGCTCTTTGCCTACACGTGTGCATACTAGTAATAATGTCAAATGACCACTCAATCTTGAAAAGCATTTGTTTTTTCTAGAAGCATCATCGAAAAAGAGCAAAATTTACATCACTGTCACCCTGAAGCGATAACAATTTCCGGTTCTCCTGCCCACGTCATAGAACAATCTTCCTCGCCACATTATCTAATAGTGATGATGCCAGATGAATAAAATTGGACAAAATATTGAGGTGATAATTTGCACTGAAAAGGTCACTACTATTCAGATCAATTAATATTTTCCTTGGAGATCATGGCAGAGTAAATGAAGATGTATACTGACTGCTGCTCTGTCATTTGTCCAGGTCCATTGCTGCTTTCTAGCTAGAATATTTTCATGTTTTTATATAGAAACAGAGCCTGAGGAACCCGCTTTTAAACAGCTGTAAGGTGTGTCCTTACTGTCTCTGTTCTTGTTTTCCTGTGTGTGCGTGCGTGCGTGCGTGCATGTGGTGGTGGTGGTGGATCAGAGTCACATGTAATACGGTAGATAGAGTTCCTTTCATTTGCTGTTTAGGTGTTTTGTCTTAAAGCTCTATTATAAGGGTGCTTTCCCAGAGATTTAGATCGATCTAGAGATTAAGATTTAGATCGACCTAACTCACTGGGGGTTCACGCTAAATTGTAGTCAGCCGAGTGGGCACCATAGTCAATTACCCCCTTACAGCTTTTAGTAGGCGGGACAGACACTTAAGCCAGCCAAGCTGACAGTAATCAAGTGAGACTCCCCACAGGGATAGATCGATCTAAAAATCTATGGAAATGGGGTGTAAGGGTCTTGGTTTTTGGAACATGTAGAACAACCACCTCATGATAGACTGGTGTGTCTTATGTAAGTTGGGGAAAAAAAATTGGTTATTTGGCACCCACATGCTGTTTCATGAAAGTCTGTTCAAAAAACATTACCAAATACTCTGTACAACTGTTCTGTGTAGGCCATATGATAAGAGTAACTAGTCGTAGTGCCCTGGATACACTGCATAGTAACTTGTTCAGGAGAACAGAGGATTACATTTGCTGAACAACAGTGAGCATATGGTACCAGAACCCCTGTTCACAACCAAGTTGAGCCAAGCCTAACTGAACTGGGGCTCAAATATGATGCGCACTTGAAAAGATCCTGAGAGGGGAGAAAGTTGGACCTATCTTCAATGTAAATCATTAATGCTACTGAAGTATTCACATTACACATGTATTGAGAATGATTGCCCTATCTTCAGTGTAAGCGTGGCTTCAATATTCACATTCCACACCGAGAAGGGTTGGCCCATCTTCAATGTAAATGTGACTAAAAGCGTTCACATTACAGGCATTTTTAATGCATAAAGCCAAGTTAGTTTACCTGAAGTAGTGAACTTAATGGATGTACAGGTCAAATACCCAGGTGTCTCATCAAACCATTTCTGTTCAATCTTTCTTCAAGCACTTATGAAATGTTGGAGAAATGTCAGGCTCACATTAAGTAAGTGCCGTTTATGCACTCTCCCTCCAAAACAACCACATTCTTGTATGTAAAGGTCAGATGGTGTATGCTTCATATGCCCCATTCTGTGAGGTTTTTACAAGCACCTTGAGTAAGTAGAATCTGAACATATGTATCCAGGGGGCTGTTTTACAATAAAAATCAGTTTTTTTGTGTCTAAATTTTAATACCACTAAGATTTAGCCAAGGAGCGTTTCACAAAGAATTATAAAGACCACTCATCTCTTCCTTTAAATGTGTTTTAAGGGAGTGCTTTAAGCAATATGCGAGTGTCTTGACAGGAGTTTTAATTCTCAGAAGTGACAGCAGATCACTTATAATTGCCTAATACATAATATTTAGTAAGGCGACCATCCTTAAAAACTCCCAGACCAATGTCACAGAGGTGACTTTGTGAAGCTTGTTATCCAATTCTTGCACTCAGCAGAATAAGCTAAGCCTAAGAACTGAACATTTTTTGGTGAAAAAGGCCCGAGTACTGGTTACACTGCATGTATCCTTTCCATAAAAAAGTCACAATGATTTTACATACATTATGCATCAAGTTTTAGATAAATTGCAGATCACAGCGAATAACATGTTCCTGCATGTGATGTGCCTGGGGTAGAGCTAACACTCGCCAATTTAGCCAAATGCTAAAACTGACTTAAATTGGCTAAAGAAAAAGGGCTTGATTTGACATGTTTTAGCCAAATTATAACCATTTTGATAACAATTGATGAAAATGTGGTGATTTGGCTAAGCGAAAAAAATTGCTAGCTCTACCAGTGTGGTCAAAGCTCCTCGCAATCAAACTTCTACAAAGCTGGAACCCAAGAAGCACCTGACTTCAAGTCGAATTAAAAGACCTTTGTTAAGTTTAAGGTCCGAATTGGGAAACTTGAAAATTTTTGCAGGATATATATATGCATATGATAGTTGTGGGGCATTTTCAAACTCTTGCATTTAACATTATTTCAAGTTTTTAATGACCTTATTTACATAAAAAAAACACATGCAAAGTCAATCTTTCTGATCTGCGAGTAGCAAAAGAAAAAAGTTTGCAATCATTTAACAAATTATAGCACGTAATCATTAAATTTGAAATTCATGTTGAGTTATTAGAGGGGAAAAAAAACACGCTGACACTGGATGCCGCCATACTACCAGCAAGGCCAGTAAACAGAATATTGACAATGTTGATGGAAATCGCTTTCAGATGGACGGGCTTAGCGAGGCTGCCCATTAAGACTAATCTCCAGCAATATGTGATTAAGGCAATCTAATGGGACTTGAAGAAGAAGGATGGGTTACAGGTCTTAAATGCTGTCAACTTGCCCCAGCGTAACTATTAACCTTAATAGCTTATCGCTATGTGATATGTATTTTCTACTATCAGTTGGACTAAATGCCTTCAATATTTCCCCCTAAGAAGGTCACAAGGGAAGCTTTGTGACATGGAGACCATATCATATAGTATGAACAGGTGTTGAAAGTGAGATTAGGTCTTGTGCTTACGTGAAAAAAAAAAAAAAAAAGTCCATTTTCTTAAACTTGCAATGCGTCATCAAATAAGTCTATTGAGCCAATCACTTGAAATCCAATAACTTTTTAAGTAACTGAAGGACTTAGAGTACATTCCCAGAGATTTAGATCGATCCAGAGATTTAGATATAGATTGACCTAACTCCCTGGGGGTCCACACTAAATTGCAGTCAGCCGAGCGCACACCATAGTTAATTACCGCTTTACAGCTTTTAGTAGGCGGGACAGACGCTTAAGCCAGCCAGTAATCTAGTGAGACTCCTCACAGGGGTCTTATACTATACTTGGTTCTGGAGAAAGTAGCTGCGCAGCCTTCCATCATAATAATACTGTTTACAATGATGGATGCCTTGTTTAACGAGTGAAGTCAAGACGTAATTCAGGATAAAACCTACCCTCTCATATCAGGTGTGGTATCCCAGGGGCCTCTGGCATAGCCTGTTACATTATTGAAAAACAGGTGCACACAGCTGTATTTTTGCTTGTTATGTGTCTTTGGCGCCATTCAGAATAGGGGACTAACTAGTCCAAGGGCCAAATAATGCAACCCACTAAAAAGCTTGCCATCTAATCCCCTAATAGATACTGAATAGGAAGTATTCAAGGTTGGCCATATTTGACCCTTGGACTAGTTAATGCCCTATTCTGAATGGGGCCTTCGGCAGCATTCACAACCAAAGTAAAATCACAGGGATTTAATTCAGTGTCTATTAATTAGGGGATAACACTTTATAGTGGGTCAGCCATACTTGATCAGTGGATCTGTTAGGCTACAGACCATCTCATTCTGAATGGGCCCTTAAAGACTAAACCTGTCAGTTATTTCTACATTTATATAAAAACAAAATCTAACCTCAACACTGGAATATGAGAACTCATTGATCATTTCTGCCTGACATGAGCAGTAATTTCACAGAGATGTGAAAACAAATCCATCATTTTTGGACTTTTACTCAAAGATCAGAATCAACAGCTTTCCTCTATAGATCTCAAACGAGTAGTAAAATATCAGTCCATCATCTTAGATCACTTTTAATAGAAAACTGATTTTTTTGCCTGTATTTATAGTCCACCTTCCAGCTAGCTTTAAACTGTGTTTACAGCAGCCAGCTTTGAATTGTTTAAGGACTGCAGCTAACTTTGAATTGAATGAGGGCTACAGCTTATTTTGAACTGTGTAAGAACTGCAGCTAGCTTTAAATTGTGTAAGGACTGCAGCTAGCTTTAAATTGTGTAAGGACTGCAGCTAGCTTTAAATTGTGTAGGGACTGCTGCTAGCTTTAAATTGTGTAGGGACTGCTGCTAGCTTTAAACTGCATAAGGAATGCAGCTAGCCTTAAATTTTGCAAGAATTGCAGCTAGTTTAAACTGTGTAAGTGCTGTAACCAGCATCATATCAACTCTTAGAAATTGGCCTGTTATCAGGAGCAGGTGCTTGGCAAAGCAGTCTATGATTACAATATATTCAAGAGCTATCATGAATCACACTGCCCTTCAGCCATAATCATGGCACAGCAGCAGGCAACTGAAAGCTAGTCATTTGTGGCAAGGCTGGATGGTTGGATAAGGTTCACAATGAAACTATCCTACTGGGGTGTTCTAACTCTGCATGAACTCTCACTGAATGTAATCAGGTTGACGAAATGACACACCTCCTCTTAGCACTGAGTAGCATGCAGAAAAGTTGGTGATTATACAAGTACATTAGAAACAAAAGAAGGTGTGTTAATCTGATTGTATTTAACACAAGTCCCAGCAATGTTAGTTTGCTCTACCTCAGACGATAGTTCCATCCGGAGCATCTTTTGGCAGGTACGAGGTTATTTCTTGGTGGGTGTGTGGTTATTTCTTGGTGGATATATAGTTATTTCTTGGCGGGTGTGTGGTTATTTCTTGGTGGATATATAGTTATTTCTTGGTGGGTGTGTGGTTATTTCTTGGTGAGCTTGTGTTTATTTCTTGGTGGGTGTGTGGTTATTTCTTGGTGGATATATAGTTATTTCTTGGTGGGTGTGTAGTTATTTCTTGGTGGGAATGAGGTTCTTTCTTGGTGGGACCAGGGTGTGTAGTTATTTCATGGTGGGTGTGAGGTTCTTTCTTGGTGGGTGTGTGGTTATTTCTTGGTTGGTATGAGTTTATTTCTCCTGGGTTCAAGGTTATTTCTTGGTAGGAAAGACTATTTCTTGTTGGGTTTAATGTTATAGCTTGCTGGGTGATTGGTTATTTCTTGGTGGGTACGAGTTTTATTTCTCACTGGGTTTAAAGATATATCTTGTTTGTTGTGTGGTTATATCTTGCTGGGTTCGTTGTTATTTCCTGCTGGGTGTGTGGGTATATCTTGGTTGGTATCAGATCATTTCCAAGTGGATAACTAACATTCCTAAAGTACAGAACTTGCCATTTACATCTCATGACAGAATATGAGAGAGAGAGAGAGACTGACTGACTTCATTTAAATCTCTTGCCCTTCAATTCTGAACAGCAGCATTTCAAGGCAAAAGATGAAAATAACTGGCTGCAGCAATGTGACCATTTGGACTATGTCAGGAATGAAGCTCTCTGGTAACAGGGTAACAATTAACAAACAAACTGCCAATTCAGGCCACTTACAGATTTGAAGGGAAAAGGAAACCTTGAATAAGTGTTGTGGCCCTGTTAATTGTTATCCATATTAAATGAATGTTCAATTGTAAAACTACTGAAGTGGTAGCTGCTAATTGCTACTGGACTACTAACAAGGTGACAGGAAGTTGAATTTACACCATTAGACGTATTTTCACAAGCACACAAGTAGCAAAATATTTCTTCTTTATGTCCAGATGTTGATCACTTACTTCATTTGTTTCACAATGGTGGACTTCCCAGATTCTCCAGCACCTAAAACATATAAAAAAACATAATTAAATCATGCAACAAAATTGACAGTGCTGAAGATGGGAACACGCAATTGCAATCGATCATTTCATCTGTAATTGTCTAAAAGATAAGCTTCTTCCTGACTTTTGCTAAATATGTCTTAGCTTACACAATGCAATGATCAGCATTAGATTGCATGTAATGGGAGTGAGAGGGGGGGGGGGGATAAAAGGGAAGGAAATAGAGAGACAGAAAGGGAGAGTAAAGCAAATTATGCCTATGAGCTGCCTGTCTTTTCAGTCTGACATCAAGATTCCAAAAGTTTTTTTCCCCATTTTCCCTATTCTAACCTGGTCCGCAAGTCCAAATCTTTGGCAGTGTGTTTTAAATAGACTGGTTGTATGTTTCTTTTGAGTAAACAAGACTGCCATCTTGATCTGACTTGTAATAACAGATGTAATAATCTTTCAATCTGTTGAGGATTTCTGTGAATACTGACTTAACTCTGAATACAGGAGTAAAAAATTTTTTTAAAAAATCTAGATTATGGATTCTCTAGTGTACTAGATACATCTATTAACTCAATGAAGGCTTTAGGCTTTATGTGGAACAGCGTAAGAAAAATTGGCTGGTAAGAAAATCGTTCTAAGAATGTAGAGGTTAGGAAATACTTATACCCCATTTCCATAGATTAGATTGACCTACTTTAGATCGACCTAACTCCCTGGGGGTTCACGCTAAATAGCTGTCAGCCGGGCGGACACGAAAGTTAATTACCTCCTTACAGCTTGTAGTAGGCGGGACGGGCATTTAAGTCGGATTATCTGAAAGTAATCTAGTGAGACTCCCCGCGGGGATAGATCGATCTAAAATCTATGGGAATAGAGCCTTAGACTCTGAATTATATAGTCAAATAAGCCTACTGATGTAAAGAAAATCATATCAACCATTGTCATACACTATTTTTTCAGGCAAGTAGAAAGATGCTTAAGGAATCTTTATCTCCCCAGTAACATATCACTACATCACAGTGCTTTTGTCACAAAACTATAAATACTACACCAAAATATAATGCTAAAAAGGTCTTCTTCCATAGTGTTAAACAGTACCTGCCATTACACACAATAAGAAGTGAAACAGCCCCCAGCATGTTAAATGTTATAATAACAGTGCAGCTTTGTCACTGGAAAAATGGACAGGGTTGTATTAACGCCCAGGTTAACACGGTTCTCTTTACAATATCTGTAAAAGAATATCACTATCCTTTTGAATGCAGGACATAAGGCGCTTGACATCCACATTCCAAAATTGAATGTAATAGAGTTGTTGTCTCTCCTGGTACACATTCATTGTGGGAAACTAGACTGGTGTTATTCATACTAAAAAATTATATATTTTATTCATAAAAATCTTCTACTGTGTTGTAATTTTTTTGACTTCACATGTTTGTCTCTCTAGTCTCTCTCACCTCCCTTCTCTCTCTGAGTGCATTCCCATAGATTTAAATCGATCCATCTAAATTGACCTAACTCCCTGGGGGTTCACGCTAAATTGCTGTCAGACGAGCGCGCACGGCAGTTAATTACCCACTTACAGCTTTTAGTAGGCGGGACAGACATTTAAGCTGACAGTACTCTAGTGAGACTCCCCACAGGGATAATCGATCTAAAATCTGTGGGAATGGGGCCTCTGTCTCACCCCATCCCTTCTCTTCCCTTCTCTCTCTCTCTCTCATAATATGCAAATTATCTTCTGTTACACATGTTTGGTCCCACCCACCCCCTGGGAAAAATCAATAAATCAAGTTACAATAATAACACAGCCTAGCCTAACAAACCATGCATAACAGCCCAATATCTTATTGATCTGCGTGTTTACCAAATTACACCATCATTCAGGTTGTCGTATTTGTTCTCCAGCGTTGAAAAGAGTGTTCTGGCTGTGGAAAATGCAGCATCTCTGTACAAGTACTTTTTAATCAATCAATCCAGATTGCGGCTTAGAGATCGCTAAAAATTTAAGCAATTTTTGATTATAATATTTCTTGTTTGCATGTGTGAGAGAGATTGAGAGAGATATACTGTCCAAACCATCTGTTTAACTGTTCAAGAAACTACTAGTACTCATATTTAGACAAATTCACACTCTGATTTTTTTCATGATTTAAACTAAGAGAACCAAACTGAATGATTTTAGACAAGAAATGGGCCACTATATCCTTCAATCAGCCAGCGGAAATATCTGACAGAACTTTGAATTTCTTTTATTGACTTCCTTTGTGTCGACATGCGATGTGTAATCCTATTGTTCCGTCACATCATCCACCTATATCCTTTACCATCCACATCACCGATTCATGCATATACTGGAAGGTGGAGGTAGTTGTTATATTCCATGCCGACTAAGCTGATTAAATGAATAATAACCAAGAGGCACCTGATGCCTGCAATAACCTACAGATATCCAATTATAATTTTTGTTTCAGAAATGTATCCTCCAGGGGTAAAGCCAACTCCCTCGCCAGTCAATACTGCACTTTAGTATAAAGAATCAGTAAGTGCTTTTCCAGGCTTATTTCAAGCATTTATTCTTATTCAGCTTGGTGGGAGTTCTTCATCCTATGTCTTATCTTACCTTCAGTCACATTCTGACTGCTTAACATGAAATGTGCTTAAAAGCTGAAAATGCAACCTCCTTGTCCCTGAATCAAGTTATTTTACAAGGCAGGACGAGGAAGAAATTACAGTTCTGGATGGATAAAATGTTGAGGATTATTTGCACGTCAACCTATATTACTGTAGTACTGCAATCCTATTTGAAAATCGATCTGAAATGTTACTATTAGCAAAACCGTAATCCTCAGCACCTCAGTCTATCAAAATATATTTGATCAACGGGAAGCGAATTCTGTCCACAATTCTACTACGCAGCTGTCATTAACAAAACTAATCTTTAGCAGCTCAAAATTAATTCAAGATATTAGAACAAAGTTACATAAATTTTGAAGTAACTGTTCTGCCAATATTATACAGAACAATTTGCCTTAAGTGAGAGAACTGTCATCTGCTTTCAACAAGTCTGTGTTCAAAACAAATTTTTTGAACTTTTTATAATCAATTCCATCAAGCTATGGATCTCATTGACCAAAGAACTCGAAAGTATGCTTGTTGTTACCTAAATTTTCTCCTCACACAGTGACACATAAATGAAATTTCACAATAATCAAACACAGAAATCCAAATGACAGGTAATTTTAGACTTATGGTGAAAAGACGTGGGCCTTCCTTGGCCATTTTCAGTTTATGCAAATAAAATAGAGGTAAGTCAAATGAAAGTGTGTCAGTGACTATAAAGTTATACTATCCTAAACCCCAATAACGTTGTAAAGATTGACTTAAAATCCACACAAAGTTTTATCGACCACATAATATTAAAAGAAATCTCTATTCAGTGATGGTGATAAAAGATCCCTACTAGTACATGTTTGCTGAATGGCCTTCAGTGTTTTCAGGGTTGAACATACTAGTATTTATACTGGATCAATTAAAGGGATAACAACTGTTCATTCTGGCCAAAAAATGAATTTTCATGGGGCAAACAACAATTTTCCAACACTTACCAAAGGTTAATGAGTCCATTTCTACATGTTTGTTTATTTTTTTGGGTAATTATCTCCTAAGAGATTATTACAGAGTATAGCCATCTATGGAGGTCAAATGGTTCAATGTCAAGCACAGATTTCAGAATATTTAACTGCCATTTTTGTGGTAAAATTATGTATTATACTTCTATGAATTGTTAACAGTGTTTTTATTGAGAAATATAGATCTCATACGAAGAGTTGTTATCCCTTTAATTTGTCCTTAACGGCTGTGGTAAGACATTTTTTCAAAAATAAAATCACGATGTGCAATCTTCCAGCCAGCTTCCAACTTCACATTGGATTATAATACCTTAGGTGCCTTATTTGCATTTAATGACATCAATATTATTTAAATCATTTTATCACATTTAATATGCGATATCTCCACTATCACCCATGGAAGTAGACCAGATAACAGGCACTATAAATAAGATCAAAGCCACTGCAAAATGACCAAAATAACAATGTGATTCAAAAATCAGTCAGAAAATAAAAGCAATTATTTTGCCTTAGGTTGACAAAAAATGAATGGAAAAGAGGATTTTACCATGAAAATGGTGGTTTTGAGGGGTACCAGCAGAATGAATATTGGGCAGCCTATGTTTACAAACAGATAAAGTCAAATGGAGCATGTAAGGTGTCCTTAAAGTCACCACCTTTCAAGATAACAAATCCTCGACTGAAGCAGAGAAACCAGGCTTCTTCTCAATCTGTCACAGGAGTTCAATTATACTTTGACTATCCAATTTACTCTAAAGGCCTGTGCTACTAAATAACTTTTGCCCGAAATTTGGTCTTAACTTCAATGAAGATGTCAAATCGGGACTAACTCGTCTGCACATCAAATACGATACGCATTTGACAATGGATTCTTTCAAGAGGGTGGCGCCATATTTGATCCGCGGGTCTGCTAGTCCGCAAATCAACTTGTTCCGAATGTGCCCCTACAAGCTTAGTTCAATTATTGGGCAAGACTTCTTTTGTGAAACTTGCTCAACGTGTTTAGAATATGAATTGACATTATTAGTTTGCTTCAGTGATGCAAATGAACCTGTAGGTAAACATTAACCATCTTTTTAGGTCCTCATCCCAAGGAAAGAAAACATTATTTTGGCTATTAATGAAAAGTGTATGCAGTGGCATAAAATTAAAACATTCATTTGCTTTAGTACTGCATTTTATAGAGCACAAGGCCTGAGAGAGAATTCTAAAACGTTTCCACAAATGCATTAAAATTACAGTGTAATGGAAAACCACCAATCTACCCTCATCCAGAACAGTGATTATCACCAACCATTGTCATTTAAAGGGTAAACAACTGCTTGTTTTGGTCATTTAAGTTATGCCAACTTGCCAAGAAATATATTTAAGAAGGTTT